TTCCAAAATAATCCATGTTTTTCAACAAGAAAATGGAGTGCAAATGTGAGTTATATAATAGTTCCTTCTTATTCTTAGCATTGAATTTCAGAATTGGATCAATTAATGTGTATTCTTCACTTATTCATGCTAATCTGGTTAGGTCTTCCAATATTTGAATGTATTCATTTATTAATACTCAAGATAAATGTTTCAAACCAGTTCAAATCAAAACCAAACCACTATACTATTTGCGAGTCGATATCATGCTGCAACTGTCATTGATGGCGAAGCCTCTGAATGTTTATAAGATTCTTATTTTTATTTATTTTATTTTATTTTATTTTTGATTTTGAGTACTTTGGGCTGATTCTTCCAAACTAACATTGAGGAGCTCTGGGTTTTATTGTAACACGAAACTTGGCACGCACAACCGCCTAGGCACGAGAGACTTAAGGGAGAAGACATGACTCGAATCGAATTCCCGGTTTGGGAGTTAGAGCCGGATTTCACTCTTAAAAAACAAACTAATTTCTTAAGAAACTTAGAATTTGAGGTGTGAATGCCCCAAAATCACCAAACGGCGTTGGAGTAGCACGAAACTTGGCACACACGACCGCCTAGGCACGAGAGACTTGTTGGAGAAGACGGGACTCGAATCGGATTTCCAGTTTGGGAGTTAGAGCTGGATTTCACTCTTAAGAAACAAACTAGTTTCTTAAAAAATTTAGAATTTGAGGTGTTAATGCCCCAAAATCACCAAACGGCATCGGAGTAGCACGAAACTTGGCACATATGACCGCCTAGGCACGAGAGACTTGTGGAAGAAGACGGGACTCAAATCGGATTCCCGATTTGGGAGATAGAGCCGGATTTCACTCTTAAGAAACAAACTAGTTTCTGAAGAAACTTAGAATTTGAGGTGTTAATATCCTAAAATTACTAAACGGCGTCGGAGTAGTACGAAACTTGGCACACACAACCGCTTAGGCACGAGAGACTTGTGGGAGAAGACGGGACTCGAATCAGATTCCCGGTTTGGGAGTTAAAGCCAGGTTTCACTCTTAAGAAACAAACTAGTTTCCTAAGAAACTTAGAATTTGAGGTGTTAATGCCCCAAAATTATCAAACGGCGTCGAAGTAGCATGAAACTTGGCACACACGACCGCCTAGGCATAAGAGACTTGTGGGAGAAGACGGGACTCAAATCGGATTCCCAGTTTGGGAGTTAGAGCTGAATTTCACTCTTAAGAAACAAACTAGTTTCTTAAGAAATTTAGAATTTGAGATGTTAATACCCCAAAATCACTAAACGGCATCGGAGTAGTACGAAACTTTGCACACACGACGGCCTAGGCATGAGAGACTTGTGGGAGAAGACGGGACTCGAATCGGGTTTTCGATTTGGGAGTTAGGGTCGGATTTCACTCTAAGCAAACTAATTTTTTAAGAAACTTAGAATTCGAGATGTTAACGCCCCAAAATCACCAAAATGGCGTCGAAGTAGCACGAAACTTGGCACACACGACCGCCTAGGTATGAGAGACTTGTAGGAAAAGACGGGACTCGAATCAGATTTCCGGTTTGGGAGTTAGGGTCGGATTTCACTCTAGACAAACTAGTTTCTTAAAAAACTTAAAATTCGAGGTGTTAACGTCCCAAAATCACCAAACGGCATTGAAGTAGCACGAAATTTGGCACACACGACTGCCTAGGCACGAGAGACTTGTGGGAGAAGACGGGACTCGAATCGGGTCCTCGATTTGGGAGTTAGAGCCGGATTTCGGTCTAGGCAAAATTATTTACTTAATTATCTTTATAATTGTATAGTAGTTAAATTTTTATTTTTTTTGTAATTAATATATTAACACATAATTATATTGTTATTAATTATATTTATTTTTTGTTTTCAAATATTTCCCGAGTAGAAGTTTGTTTCTTGTGGAATGCATGTTTGTGAAGAATGCGACTAATTTTCATTTTTGTTACCCACGGAGAATGATAAGCAAAACTTGTAATTTTGGTTTATGTTATTTTGAATTATGAACAACATTATGTATTTAAACATTATATATGCATTATGGAACATTAAGTAGTGTGGTAATTTTGTTGATATGTAGTTATGAATGTAAGAATATTTTTATTATGGAGGAGTTTATACATGAATTTTTATATTATTATGCAATTATTGGTTTCTTTTTCAATTGTTTTTCATTTAATACGGGTAATTTTAATATTTTTAATAATAATAATTTTTTTTTTGGCGACGGCACCACACCGTTGCAAAGAACAAGTAATTTTTTTTTTGGCGACAGCACCATACCGTCGCAAAAAATATATTAAAACCATTGGTGACATTGGGCATGCCGTTGCAAAAAAAAAAAAAACCATTCGCGGCAGCATTTTTTGCCTTCTAAAAAAAAACTTTTAGTGACGGTAAAATGGTGCCCCCGTCACAAAAGTTGACTTTTTTACATATTTTATGCAACAGTAAATTGCCGTCGCAAAAGGTAACAATTGCTGTCGCTAAAAAAAGGCGACGGCATGATGCTGTCGCTAAATGAATTTTGCAACGCCCTTTGTTGTGACCCCCCATTTACCGTCGCTAAAACATTTTTGAGACAGCATTAAGAGTATTCGCGACAACACCATATCGTCGCAAAAAACCGAAATTTTTGTAATGCCACCAGCAAGGTTCTAAATATCGGCCGGTACGTCCCGTACTGGCCGGTTCGTACCGGAAAATGGGAGGGCCGAGTCGGATACTCACCGGTATACTGGCGAGATTGGATTTCACGTCCGTATCGGCCGATTCCCGACACGTATCGGCCTGAATCCGATACATACGACGATACAGTCCGATACACACATTGATTGTCGCCGGTACAGATGAAAATCAGCACAGAAAACCTGTAAGATCTAAGCTTCTTTGGGCTGTGGAGTTCACTTTGATCTTCAAGCTTCTTCAAAGACGGTTTGTCCCTGAGTTGCAAGTTATAATTTGTGTTTATGCTCTGTTTTTTTTGAGTTGTTGCGCTATGCTCTGTTTTTTGGAGCCGCTGCTGCTATGCTCTGTTTTAGTTCATGTGCTGAATGTTTATGGGGGTTTTTTCCCTCATTTTTCTTTGTTTATACACCTACACTACACCACTGTTTATATTAATATATATATATATATATATATTAGTATGTGTGTCGTGTGCATCGTCCCGTGGTGTGTGAGAAGATGAAGTTGGTGGTGTGTGTGTGAGTCCCCTCTGTGGTTGTCATGCATGGAGCCAGCGAGAGAGTTCTGCCATGTGCATCTGTATGTGTGTGCATGGTCTGTGTCTTCTGCCGTGTGTGGTGTAAGTGGTGTTGTGTGTGTGATATATTTCTATTGAGCAGAACACGGCAAAAAAAATAAGAAAAATACATATTCAATCAAATCTGTCAAAAGCTTGGATTAGTGGAAAGGTTTGTTATTAGTTTTTTATTATTTATTTATTTATTTATTTATTTTGGTGCTATGTTTTTGTACTATATTTTTTTTATTTGTGTCATGCTTTGGTGTAGATGCTTAAGATTTAGAATTTTTTTTTTTAAAGAGGTTTATTCTAATTAGATTTTTATTTTTATTTTAAATATATTATTGTTACTAAGTAAATTAGAATTACAATATTTGTCAATTGAAAACTGTTATTGTAGATAATTAAAAGTTATAATTGACAAATTAAGGCTAAAAGAGTCCAAAAAATGCATAAAATTGAGTTTTATAGGGATTGTTAATGATTTCTAAAATTTCACGGCCGCGACACCCGATTCCCGATACGTACCGGCCGATACTACCGATACCGATACTCCACGATCGATACCGTTACGTTACCCGATACCGCAATTTAGACTTCTCATAAATTATAACGAAAGAGACTTCTCATGTGCCTTTCTCTTTAAGGATGTGGGATATTGCAAACTTTCTCCCACCGCGTAATGCACTACAAGGCTGTTCTTTTGTAAAGAAAGTTTACATCCCTCTTCTAGTAGCCGATGTGGGATTGTACTCTAGACCCACAGATTATAGACTCACCTAATATTAATTTTTAAAATAGTAATTTGTTAACAATTCATAAATTATTCATTTAAGATTAAATCATTCAACCAACGGAGCTAGCTTGATATGTTAGAACTATTGAACTTCACACGTATCTTGATAGTATGATTTTGAACCACGTCTGGTGGCAGCGGCGGTAAAAATCGTTTTCAATGGGAGATGTTGGCCGAAAGTTGGTTTGAGTGGTAGGGTTGTTGGAGGTCACCAACAATAGTGGCTGGAGGCTGGGGTGGCCGAACGGTGCAAGAGAAAGAAGAAAAAATGATAACTTTTTCTTAAATAAGTGAAATTATTATTATTATTATTTTGTTATTATAATAATTTACTAAATTCTGTAAACAAGTTTTTCAAAATAAAAATAGATATCAAACAATTTTTTATTTATAAGTTTTAGATGTTTTTATAAATATAAACAAATAACTCTAAATTTAAATGTTACACTCAAAACAAAATTGTGAAAATTCAACCAAATTATGTAATTATTATTTTTTATTCAAAACAAAATTCTGAAAATTCAACCAAATTATGTGACTATTATTTTTTATTCACTAGTTAAAATATTAGGTTTGTGCATATTGACTCACTCATAAAGAAAGTGAGGAAGATGTCTCAAACGATGGCAACGGTGGCAGAGTTGGGCAGCAGCGATGGAAACGACGTTAATGGGGACGATAGACTTTCAAGCAGACATTGCTTTCCAGACCACATCTTTGAGCAGATCGATAATTTTTCCTGAATCATAACTGTTTTTGTTTGGTGAATTTGGTTTTTGTTGTTTATTTTCTGTTTTGTTGTTTGGTTGTGATGGCTCTCTGGGGTCTTATTTATATACTATTGTTGTTTTATTAATATAATATTTTCCATGTTCTCAAAAAAAAAATATTTATTAATTTTTTTAGTTCAAATTTTAAGTCATAAAAGGATATTTTAATCAAAAGGCCAACTTGATTATCATACTAGCAAACATAGATAGAAAACATACAAAGTACTAGCTAACATTTACAAAAAACACATCTCCATAAATTTCACAAACTCACTAAAATCAATGACTCCATCCCCATTTTCATCAAAACCACTGATCATCCTTTTGCAATCCTCCAACTCTGAAACTTCATTCAACCCCAAAACACAGAGAACTCTCTGCAACTCTGTTGCATCTATGAACCCATCTCTGTTCTCATCAAACACATCAAATGCTTCTTTCACTTCTTCCAAACAGGGCTTCTCTTCATCAAACAATGCCAAAACCTCTTTAGCACCAATCATGCAACCACCATTTATGTCACGCGGCAAGCCTAGTTTGTTCATCACCATGTTCAGCTCTTCACTGAGAAGTTGCACATCAATGTGATTCTCATTAAAGCATTGTTGGTTCACTGGTTCAGTGTTTGGGGGTTTGATGTTGTTCCAAGGTTTGCATTTGGTGGATAGGGTTTGGAGAAAGTGTTTGGCATCTGAGAAAATTTTATGCAGTTTGGTGTCAGGGAAGACAATTGTGAAGAAGAGTTGGAGACCAGATGAGGGGGTCATTGTTGGGGTTGATTGCATTTGGGATATGGATTTCTTGATGACTAAGAAAGGGTGATGCAAGGAACTACTGGTGGTGGTTATGTATTTATAGAATCATACATGTAACGAATTGGCTTTTCTTTGAAAATGTCTTAGATTTTGCATCTCCTTCACCATAAGGTTGATCTGTGTTTTCCTAGAAATGATTGTGATACGGCGGCAATAGTGTATTTTAACAAAATTAATTACATATTAGTTGTAAACTTTACCAGTATTAATAATTAAACTCATAAATTTTTCAATGAATCTGTAATTATTTTTTGAAAATAAACTGAATAGTAATTTTTCCTTTATCGTATAAGTTGCAAAATATCTAACAAAGAGTTTCAAAATAAAATAAACAATTTTTATAAACTGTATCAAATAAAACTGAAAAGTAATTACATAAAAGGTAATGTTATACGAATAGAAGTTTACACTAAAATTTTACATTTATATGGTATTTTCATCACGAAGCAAAACACATATCATTGTAATTCAAATTAGTTAAAATGTTACTATGGCATCATTTTATGTATAAAATTTTGTAGATAAATTCTCTTTTGTGAAGTTGGAGTCTCCCAAAAGGCAAGTATGAAACGGGCCGCAACAAATGACTTCGAAAGTGATAGAACACATTCTGAACTTTCAATGGAATTGCAAAATGATTCCTATAATGCTTTTTTTATTATTATTTAATTATTTTTTAAGAGTAGTGCAAAATAAATAAATAAATAAATAACACCCAAGAAAGGAATATACAGCGCAAAATGTGGTGTCCAGGAAAATCAAGAATCTTGACCCAAAAAAAAGAAGAAAAAGAAATCTTGACGGAAAAAAAACAAATGAAGAATCTTGTTGAGTTAGCGTCACCGTCACTTGAAGTGGAGCACAAACAAGAATCTTGACGAAAAAAAAAAAAACCTATTAAAATGAGGCAATTAGAGTGGGGTTAAGCAACTTTAATGTTATTTTTTTATTTTTCGCTAATTAAAGTATGAAAAAAAAAATATAAATCAATTAGGCCTAATTTAATTAGTTATCATAATTTTTTTAAGAGCTTAGTTTTTAAAGAGAGGTCATATGTTTAACTCTCTTTAAGTGAGTTGAATTGAGGGAGCAAGCACTTGATGCTTCGTAAAGGTTAGGGAGACTAATTTTCATAGGTGTTAATCTAACAATTAATAGTTGATTTTCATTGATAGGGGAAAAAAAAAATGCATGAAAAAAGTATATTCTTTATTTGACCTAACTAATTTTTTATTTATGTGCTCCAACCTTACTTTTTATTTTATATATTTATTCATAGAAACTAGTTTAAAGAGCCTCCAAGACTCTCTAAATGTAAATAATCTGGAAAAATCTTGTTAAAATAATTATTGTAATAGGTAGTCTGGTGGAGAGAGTAAAACTATGTTTAAAAACGAAAAAAAAAGTGTATAAAATATAATTATTATTCATATTTTATTAATATTTTCTTTATTTTCTTTCAAATTTCTTTTCAAATTCATAAATCAAATATCTCCCGTCACAAACAAGGTCACATAGGCTAGAAACTCATCTCGAAAAGGTGAGAACTTACAAAATCTTAAGCTTGTTAGAGAGAATAATCTCTCTATTAAGTTTAAAAAATCTAGTTGTAACATTTTTATGAAATATGCACTGTCTTCTCGTTTCGCGTGATGTTGTTTGTTGCTTTTGCCCTAACTCTCGGACTGAATGTTTTTTCAGTATTTGACTTGCATGTTTTGATTTGTTGGCTTACTCGCCATCTTTCTTGTGTCCGTTAAGTTGTGTTTGATTGAGAAATTTGAAAGAGATTTAAATTGAGAAAAAGAAATTACATGTGAAACTAAGTATAATGTATGTTTATTTTATTTATATTTCACATTCTTTTCTTTTTTTTTTTTTTTCTTTTCAAATCTCTTCCCTCCAAACAAACACAACATAATTGTGTATCGAGTCCCATTATAAAATTTATTTTTTTGATATATTATCGAGTCCCAACATAATTGGTTTTTTTGTGGTAAGACCTTATTTGGTATGTTAGTTGATAAAAATGAGACTTATTTTAGTTTTATTAGGAATTTTTGATTTATTTTAAGTTTGATTCAATTTTTTTTTATTTTTTTATTTTTATGTTTCTCATTAACTAGATGCCTTTAAAAATTAAATTATTTTGGGCAAACCTAAAAAAAAAATTCTAATAAAACAAAAATAAATTGATTTTTTCTAAACTAAAACAATCTAGACGAAAGCACGTGTTACGCCTATTTTAATTATAAATGGTTTAGATAAAATATAAGGTAACCTTGAAATATTATTTGACATTATTTTTGTAGTGCTCTCTGTGCGAGGGTAAATTTGATATTGTAGAATGAATCATTGCTCCGTAATTGAACTAGACTATCCAAAAATCAAGACATGCAAGACAAAGAATCGAAAATGTATAGAAATTGTTTATAATATTATTTTTCATTGAGAGTAATAACTAAAATATATTTTTCCGTCATTTTTCTAAACGGAAATAGACACATTTTTTCTCTTTCCATTTTCAAATATATTTCTAAAGTCATGAATCAAGCACAACATTAAACTTGTAAGTGATAATAATTTTAATTTTCAAATAAATTTAATTAAATTTCATTTAATGCATTCAATTTTAACTGCTAAAATGAATCAGTGGTGTTACACACACTAATTACTATACCAATTAGTGTACCAACACATTCTATAACATTATAATTTCAAAACTATGGACTCAACCTATTATATAAACTATAAAAATTCAAAGCTAATAAAACTATGTTACATAATCCGTTAATATACTAATCAGTATGTATAACTTTATTCAAAATTAATTATCAAACAACCATACTAACATAGATACACAAAAAATATGACACAACAAAAATATTACTATTTCTAAAAACACTTCTCCATAAATTTCACAAACTCACTAAAATCAATGGCTCCATCCCCATTTTCATCAAAACCACTGATCATCCTTGTGCAATCCTCCAACTCTGAAACTTCATTCAACCCCAAAACACAGAGAACTCTCTGCAACTCCGTTGCATCTATGAACCCGTCTCTGTTCTCATCAAACACATCAAATGCTATTGGAAAAAATGATTTTTGCTGACTTTAATTTAATATTAAAGTGTGGTGACTTTAATTAAATATTGAAGTGAGTCCCAACCTTTTATTGTGTTAGGTTCAAGTGAGCCAAAAATCATTGGGTTTTGAATAAGAAATTGCCTAGAAATTACCTCATGATGCTAGATTCATGAATAGGATTTTAAAGAGTATTTAAATCATTTTTCTTGGCTAAAGGGTGTGAATCCTTTGGGCATCCAAAATTTCATATTTTTGGAAAGGGGTTATGGATGCTTGGTGTTTTAATGACCAGCCTTAAAGGCTGGAGGCTCTTCTTCTCTCCCCTTTACATGTATAAATTGAGACCCTCCTATCAAGTTTCAATATAGAAATTTTTTGCTTCCATTTTACAAGTCAGTTTGCCAGAAAGTTTCTACATTGAGAGAGTGTTGCCATTGTTCTTGTTCGCTAAGCTAGACAGAAAGTGATTCTGCCGTTGCTGGTTTTGACCGTCGTATCCTAGGAGACAGATGCTGGGATTCCTCAAGCACTCGACCCGTAAGGCGGCGAAATCTGTTTTAAGCTTGTTGTTCAAATTGTGAAATTAAATAAATAGATTTATGAAGAAATCAAATTATATACCAAGAACATATGTTGATAATTACAATTAAATTTCAATAGAAACACACAAAACAATAAAAGGGTAAAGAGACGAAACCGAAGTGATATTCTAAGGGTGAACTTTCTTGACCATGTTCGATTCTAGGTTTTGTGGTGAGACTAATTTTTGAATTAATTTTTCTTCTAAGGGATTTTCTAAGAGTTAAGTTTAATTTCTTGAAACACAGAAGTGATATTCTGGTGTAATTTCAGAAAATGGCAACTATCACTGATGCTGCTGCTACTGCTAATGTTGGTGGGGATTTGAACCCCGGGGCAACTGGATTACCAACCCCTACTGCTGTGACCTCTGTGGTCAACCCTGGTGTTACTCCGGCTGTTCCGGGAGGACCGCTTTGTCACCATGAGCGCCCAGAAAAATTTGCTGGGAAAAATTTTAAGAGATGGCAGCAAAAGATGTTGTTTTAATTGACCACGCTTAACCTGCCAAGGTTCTGAGCGAGGATCCTCCAGCCGTGGCAGAGAATGAGCCTGACAGGCAGAAAGTCATGGCGCTTGACACATGGAAGCAAACAGACTATCTTTGCCAGAACTATGTGTTCAATAGCTTGGTAGACTCACTCTATAGTGTGTTTTGTTCCAAGAGCTCAGCAAAAGAATTATGGGAATCTTTGGACAAAAAGTACAGGACTGAGGATGCCGGGGCAAAGAAATTTGTGGTTGGCCGGTTCCTTGATTTTAAAATGGTAGATTCTGAAACTGTGATAAGCCAAGTCCAGGAGTTCCAAGTGATCTTGCACGATATTCATGCTGAGGGGATGCCTTTGAACGAGTCATTCCAAGTTGCTGTGATCATTGAGAAATTTCCCAATAGTTGGAAGAATTTCAAGAATTACTTGAAGCACAAGCGCAAGGAAATGTTAGTTGAAGAGCTGGTTGTCCGACTCCGGATTGAGGAGGATAATAGAAAGAAATGAGGGAGTACCTCCTCAGTAAAGGCCAATGTCGTTGAGCATGGCAAATCTTCTGGGATAAGGAAGAAGTCCCCTGTGAACAAGAGCTCTAAGCTGGGGCCAAGGGGTGGTGTTGCAAAGAAGTCGGCTTACAAGTCGCAGGAACCAAGTTATCGGTTCTTTGGGAAGTGTTATAATTGTGGTAACAAGGGGCATCGGGCTAGTGACTGCCGCAAGCAGAAGAAGCCATACAAGACCATACCTCGTGCTCATATGGCAGACTTACAAGAGCACTCCTATGAGGAGGATAATATGCACTTGTCTGCCGTTGTCTCTGAGGTAAATCTGGTGGGGTCAAACCCAAGAGAATGGTGGATTGATACTGGGGCTACATGTCACATCTGCTCCGAGCAGAAGCTGTTTACAACTTTCGAACCGGTTACTAACAGTGAGAAATTGTTCATGGGAAACTCTGCTA